GAAACGGATACGGTTTTTCCTTGTGAATCGGATGTTTTATCGAATCTGGAAACGGATTTGGATTCGGATTTTTTACTAGTCGGATGCTCCATCGGATGCGGATATATCCGAATCCGCATCCGTATCCGCCGGATTCGGATTCGGATTTAGTATCGTAGACATCCGTCGGATACGGATGCGGATTCGGATAACGGTTTTGCTAATCGGATTCGGATACGGTTTTAATACATTCGAAACGGATATTATCCGTTTACACCCCTAATGATAGTTACCAGATGCGAATCTTTTCTAGGGTGTCACATAAATAACAGTCACACCATGAACCTTTGATGTTGCTTGTTTAGACTTAATGACATCAAGGCGAGCTACAATGTAACACATTTGATGTTTTTCTCAAGGAGAATAACTTTTGGACGAGAAATTGTACGAAGGCTATGGAGAAACTGAATTTTTGCAGAAGGAATAGAAAAAAAATCTTATGTCTTTAATACCAAATGATAAAACTCAAGATTTGCCATGAAAAAAAATGAAGGAAAGTTTTTATAAAATAATAAAATCTACATCTAATTTCATTAAACATAAAAAAACCTTTATCAAAGTAAGAGTAAGAATCATAAACTCATATAAGTGAGAATATTAAACTCAAATAAGTAATAAAGCCAAAAAGAATCTCCAATAATAAATATTGAATTACTTCCTAGACAACTTTCATAAATAATGGGCTCGAATATTTATAGAAGCTAAATAACTACCAATCTCTAGAGTTTAGGCGTATTACCACATTACCTAGAAACGATTTCTAGACTTTAGACTCACTACCACATTACTTAGCAACTGCTCATAAGGCCTACTTAGACATTATTTAATACTTAGTAACTAACAAATACGGAGTATAAAATAAAATATTTGACCTAATAAACATACTAATAACATAAAACAACATCATGTGTAACACTATTAAAGTTGGCTACTTGGTGTGCACATAGCATTTTTGAGTGAAAAAGTGTAATGTTATTTGCACACCAACTTGCACACCATACATTTGATAGGCACCCACTCCAAGGTAGAAAGACACAATTGGCAGTAAGGTAAAGGGAGGAAGTGATAAGGCTATATTGGTGAGGTTTTGTGCAAGGAATGGAGGATTTTAAGGGAGGGAAGACTAGGAACGAAATTGGCAGTGGGGAAGGAGTATTTTTAGGCTTTTGTTTAAGTGGAAAAGTGGAGAGAAAAGTAATATTAGGGTGGTGGATGGGAGCAGGCCGAAAATAAGGGAGAAGAGAGGGGGAAATAAACAGTTTAGTATTTCTTTGGGATAGATAAACCAAGTTGGTGTTAAAGATATATTACACACTCTTCTCCTCACTTGGGGTTCAATCTAGAATTTAATTAAGATATAACACACTTAATCAAATATCTAGAACCTAACACTCACACTTAAGGAAACCAACCTTAAGATATAGAAATTAGGATTTAAAATAACAAACACAATGGTTTATTACTTGGAAATGAAAAGGAATAC